CTCCTACAAAAGATGGTTTCTCTGGTGAAAGAGTGCTGGTCTTTTCCAAATTCTTACAGAGTAACAGGGGATAACTGATACTCCAAACTGACAAGGGCATTATGAGAAAATAAGCTAGAGAACAGCATCTTCCATGAATGTAACTGCAAATGCCATTATCAAAAGATTAGCAAATCAAACCCATCAATATATAAAAAGGATAATTAATCTACTATGGCCAAGCAAGTTTTATCCAAGGACTACAAAGTCAGCACTGGAAAATGAATCAATGTAATTCAACAAAGTAACAGACCAAAGGAGAAAAACCATATGTCATCTTAATAAGTGAAGAAAAAGATTTGATAATGTTCAATACCCGTGCATGAGTAAAAAAAAAACCCAACTCTAAGAAAATTAGGAATAGATGGAAATTATATCAATATGATAACAGGCATATACAAAAAGCCTACATATAACATCATATTTAATGGTGAAATATTGAACACTTTTCCCTGTAAGACTGGGAATAAGGCAAGGATGCCCATTTTTACCATTTATTTATTTTCTTTTTATGTGGACCATTTTTAAAGTCTTTACTGAATTTGTTACAATATTGCTCCTGTTTTATGTTTTGGTTTTTTGGCCCCAAGGTATGTGGGATCTTAGCTCCCGACCAGGGATAGAACCTGCATCCCCTGCATTGGAAGGTGAAGTCTTAACCACTGGACCATCAGGGAAGTCCCCATTTTTACCATTTCTATTCAACATTGTATGAGAGAGGTCTTAGCCTGTGCAATAAAGGAAGAAAAGGAAGTAAAAGGAAGTAGTAAAATGATCTCTATTTACAAATGACATGTTTGTGTACATAGTACACAAACTAAGTAGACTTCAGAAAGACTATTAGCACGAATTTAGTAAGTTGGCAGGAGAGTTATTCAATCCTATAAAAAGGCAAGATCAAACAACTGGAAAATGAAGTTAAAAGATAATTTTGCATAGCATCAAGACACGTCAAATACCCAGGGGTAAACTTCCCGAAATATGAACAAGATACCTATGCTGAAAACTACAAAAAATACCTGACAGAAGTCAAAGACTGAAATAAATGGGGCTTAAACATGCTTATCAACTGAAAAACTCCATACTGTTAAGATGTCAGTTCCCCATGAATTTTTTTATAGAATAACTGAATAGATTCAATGCAATCCGAGTCAGATTTTCAGTAGATTTTTGAAAAAAATTGTCAAGCTGATTCTAAAATTTATATAGAAATGCAAATCTTGAAGAAGGAATAAAAAATTGTAGGACTTAGACCACCTGACTTCATGATATACTTTAATGCTGGTAATTAAGACAGTGTGATGCTGGTATAAGGACAGACAAATAGACCAACACAGAACAGAGTCCAGAAATAGACCCACCACATACAATCAACTGATTTAAAGTAAAGGCGTCCATGTTATTCATGGGAAAAGGGAAGTCTTTTCAACAAATGTTACTAGAATGACTGGTTAGCCACATAGAAATAAAAGAAAACAAAAACCAGCTGAAACTTGACCTCTGTTTCACACCATCTACATTTAAAAAAAATAATAATTTTATTTATTTATTTATTTGGATGCATTGAGTCTTTGTTGCTGCACGTGGGCTTTCTCTAGTTGCGGTGAGCTGGGGCTACTCTTCGTTGTGGCGTGCAGGCTTCTCTCATTGCAGTGGTTTCTCTTGTGGAGCACGGTCTCTAGGTGCGCGGGCTTCAGTAGTTGCAGCACATGGGCTCAGTAGTTGTGGCACATAGGCCCTAGATCGCTTGGGCTTCTGTAGTTGTGGTATGTGGGCTCAGTAGTTGTGGCACATGGGCTTCCATCACAGTGGCTTCTCTTGTTGCGGAGCACAGGATCTAGGCGCGTGGGCTTCAGTAGTTGTGGCACATGGGCTCAGTAGTTGTGGTGCACGGGCTTAGCTGTTCCGAGGCATGTGGGATCTTCCCGGACCAGGGCTTGAACCCATGTCCCCTGTACTGGCAGGCGGATTCATACCCACTGTGGCACCAGGGAAGTCCACACTGTCTACATTTTATTTGTGATGAATCACAGGAAATACAGACCCGGGAGGAAGGTCACATGTGTGTCTCATGCCCCATGCCTCCCTGGGGTGTCCTCTGTCCCGTATTGGTGCACACCTGTCCCCATCCCGGGGTCCAGCTGCCACAGCCTCCTCTGCGGACCCCCGTCTTTCTTTTCTTCTCAGCAAGTGCCTGTGTTTGGGGCCTTTCAGACCGCCCCCAACTGATGGCAGTCCTTTCCTTACACTACTTTGTAAGGCTCAGCGCAGACACCCCCTCCTCCAGGAAGCCTCCTCTGCTTTCTGAGTGAGGGACATGAGACCCTCCCTCTTCTGTGCTTCCCTAACACTAAGGTGATGTGATGATTTGTCACCCACACTGGGACACGTGTGGGTAAAAAGGGGCAGGTAATGATTGTCAAGGGTGAGCCGAGACAGAAGGTGCCTCCCTAAACCTCTTCACACGCTATCCTTGGATTGTGTCAATGTGTCTGTCCCTTCTCCAGATGCTGAGCTCCTTGGGGACCAGGGCCACACCATGACATGACCCTCCCTCGAGCTCCCGCCTAGCGCCTGGCCCCTAGTTGGCTCTGTTGGGGTTTGCTGGCTGAAAGGGGAGAGTGTGGCCGAGAGTAGGTGACAGGCTGTGGTGGCTGGACTCGGCCGTGAGAGCAGATCCCCTCCCTTCTTCACCCCCCTCTCAGGTGTCGGGTCAGTAGTCAGGGCTCCGCTGGCCTGGAATGTCCCAGGACCCAAGACAGACCTGGTCCGAGTCCATTCGGTGGTGCTCCACTTCGGCCATGCCCTTGATTCACTTGACCCCATCTTTTGCGCCATCACCCGTTCACCCAACCACAGGTCCATCCATTCCACAAATACTTGTCAGGCCCCTCCGCCTGGGCCTCCGGTTCTCGGCCCAGGGAGACAGCTCCCCCCAGGAGCCCACCTTCCCGTGAGACACATGGACACTAACAGGGGTGCAAACATGGGTGCAGGAAATGCAGTGCGTGGTGGGTGGGAGGCCGCTCTGGGCAAAGGGGTCCCCTTGGGTTCTCAGCCAGGGCAGGTGAGCACCAGAGGAGCTGAGGGCAGGGCGCCCGCTGCCAGGGAGCTCCCGGTGTCACAGAACAGACCGGCCCAAGGACGGGTCCTGATGGCCGAGCAGGATGTGCCAGGAGCAGTGACGCCAGCAGGCAGCGTAGGTGGTGAGGTGAGGTGAGTGCCGAGGTGAGGCTGGGCTGGGGCCATCCGGAGGACTGCCCTGAGACGGAGGCAGAGACGGGGGATGCAACGCGGTTGGCCTTGAAGGTGGGGACGGGCCCCAGCACTGTCCGCCCTCTGCGAGCCTGGCTGCCTGCCTCCTACCTCTGCATCCCGGGAAGGAGATGCTGTTCCCTCTCCTTTTGCAGACACGGCTCCCCGCTATTCAGTGACTCGCTGGAGGTCACCAAGCTGGAGAGGTGCCAGTGGGATGGGAGCCCAGCCCTGTGACAGCCCCGTCCCTCCAGGTGGCCATCACTCCTCCAGGACTGGGAACACGCTGGCTCTTTGGGCCCAGGCTGCCGCCCGTTCGCCCCAGCGGCGGGTTCCAGGGCCAGAGGTCCCGCACTCCCCATCTGTCTAGACTGGGCTGTTTATCACGCGCCCCAGGGGCAGCTGACCGTCTGTCCCCAGTGGCAGCACACAGATGGATGGCCCCTCAGGGGGCCTCACAGCTATTTCCTGGGGCTGGGAGGGCGGGGCTTATGCTGGGGCCCCTCTGAAGCTGCCCTCACCCTCATCCCATTTCCAGGCGTTCCAGGGAGGAGGCCACACCCCTCCTTGGGGTCCAGCAGGAAGTGGTCCCACAAATGGATGGCCCCTCGGCACCCTACCCCCCAAAGCCAAGGCTGGGGTCCTCACCCACCTTCCTGAACCTGCCGAACGGGATGGTCTTTAGTCTGCCAGAGCCCTGGCCTCCCTGGGCTGGAGTCATCCAGTCCTAAGGGCAGTCTGGGGAGACCAGGCAGGGCGACCAGGACTGGCCAGAACCTTGCCCATCCCAGGGAAGGATGGACAACCTGCAAAGGTGTTTCCGGGTTGGGGGGCTATAGGTAAGTCTTTCTTCTTTCCATTTCTTAATGTTCTCTGAAGTTCCCATAATGAGCAACACATACATTTTCTAGTGAAAAAAGGACTTTTTAAAACAATTCTCCTGGAGTTATAAAATGCTTTATTGTAACAGGTTTCACATAGGATATATAGAATGTTTTCTTTTTGGTAAAAATTGAAATTTCTGTGGGTCTCTATTAGAAAAATAAACACAGCTGGAGGGTTCTATGCCCAAAATGTCTCCCTCTAGGTCCAAAGAGTTTTGGTGATTTATCTTTTCAATATTTTCTGTAGGACTTGAAAGTCTTGACAATGACTATGAACTGTCATTTAAAAAAAAAAATCAGGGCTTCCCTGGCGGCGCAGTGGTTGAGAGTCCGCCTGCCGATGCAGGGGATGCGGGTTCGTTCCACGGTCTGGGAGGATCCCACGTGCCGCGGAGCGGCTGGGACCGTGGGCCACGGCCGCTGGGCCTGCGCGTCTGGAGCCTGTGCTCCGCAGCGGGAGAGGCCACAACAGTGAGAGGCCCGCGTACTGCAAAAAAAAAAAAAAATCTTCAGAGGGCTTCCCTGGTGGCGTAGTGGTTAAGAATCTGCCTGCCAATGCAGGGGACACAGGTTTGAGCCCTGGTCCTGGAAGATCCCACATGCCGCGGAACAACTAAGCCCGTGCGCCACAACTACTGAGCCCACGTGTCACATCTATTGAAGCCCGCGTGCCTACAGCCCATGCTCTGCAGCAAGAGAAGCCACTGCAGTGAGAAGCCCGCGCACCCCGGTGAAGAGTAGTCCCCGCTCGCCACAGCTAGAGAAAACCCGTGTGCAGCAACGAAGACCTAACACAGCGAAAAGTAAAAATAAATAAATTTATTTTAAAAAATCAGAGACACATACAATGATTTGTTCTTTGAAAGCTAAAAGGAATGGCTGCAGTTCCCTCCCTCCCTTCCTCCCTCCCTTCCTTCCTTCCTTCCCAAGGGAAGCCCAGGGGAGTGGGAGGAGGGCGGTGCAAACACTGGCTGGGCAGGGTCTGCAAGGAGTGGGCAGGGATGGGTGGGGGTGATGAGTGAGCAAAGGATTCCTGGGAGGAGGGGAAGTTGGAAATGGGGGTTGGGGGCAAGAGCACCCTCTAGGCAGCAGGTGTCCAGGACCCCCGTTCCGGGCGACAGGGCTGGAAGGGGCAGGGGAGGGCCCAGCTGGCGCCAGGCTCTGCAGTGACCCTGCTTTGGCGGGCACACTTATGGGTGCGTTTGGTGAGGAAGCAGCGCCATCTGGTGGCCGGTGGGGAGACTGCTGGGCAGGGGTCACCTGGGCGCTGGGAGCCTGTGGGTGAGGCAGCCCGAGAACTCTATAGTGGAAGGATCACAGCACGGCCTCAGCGAGGACAGGCCCCGCCCAGCTGCCCACGTGGGCCTTGGGGGGCGGCCTCCCCTCCACCCCAGCCCTCAGCTGGTGGCAGGGGGGGAAGGAGGCGGCAGCTGGGGTGCCCATCCTCACCCCAGTCCTGGGGACTCCCCGCTTAGCTGCTGTGTCTCTGGCCTTCTCCTCAGGCCTTCCTTGTACTCCACAGGCTGGGCATGTGGGAGTCAAGACCACGGCTCTCCTGATGCCCCCGGCCCTTGGGTCCCCAGGGCCAGTGAGCTGGGGGGGATCGGGATGACACATGGTCCTGGAGGGTCTGGTGAAGGGTTGGGGGGACCCTGGCCGGCCCTGACATGCGGCCCATGGGCAGGGACAGGCTCCCGGCCCCCAGCTGGGCCCCCTCCCCCAGGGCCCTCTGGAGGACCACCTGGAGTGGCTCCCGCTTGCCCGGCTGCCGGCCCTTCGCGAAGTAGATGAGCGGCCTGGCGCTGCAGGGGACGCAGGCCAGGAGGGTGGCCAGCAGGAGGAACACAGGCAGCAGGAGGTTCAGGATGGGGTGCAGGGTCCAGTAGAGGATGTAGGGGAGGCTGCAGAAGAAGAGCAGGAATACGGAGCCCAGGAAGTTGCCGTAGAACCGAGGGCGCGGGCGCTGGGAGCAGCACGTCACCCAGACGAAGAGTGCAAGCCCGGCCACGCAGGCCACGCAGGCCAAGGACAGCAGCCACGTGACGCTAGCCACGTGGTACCGTGGGCAGGTGGACAGGCGCAGGCCCTCGCGCAGCAGGCCGCAGGCGTTGGCGGGCAGCAGCACGGCCGGCGGGGTCAGGGCCCAGATCAGGCCGCAGACGATGCCCGACGTGTGTCTGGGGCGGCAGCCCCGGTAGCAGGTGGGGAAGATGTCGGAGAGGCAGTGCTCGGCGCTGAAGGCGGCCAGCAGCCAGAGCCCCGCGGAGAAGGCAACAAAGGTGACGGCGAAGTAGAGGCTGTCCTTGGAGCCCAGGGCTGCCTGGACGGCCGAGAAGCCCAGCTGACAGCCCAGGAAGAGGAAGTCCGCGGTGGCCACATGGAGGATGTAGACAGAGAAGGGGCCCTTCTTGATGTGGAAGCCCAGGTGCCAGAGGACCAGCCCATTCCCCACCAGCCCCCCGAGGCCCACAGCCAGAGTGAGGTAGAAAACCACGCCGGTGAAGGTCCTCCAGAGCCCGAACATGCTGGCTGGCTCCGCGGCCGGTGGGAAGGACCCTGGAGGGAGGCCACAGACGTTGCCGTTGTTATCACTGCCCCGGGAAGGCGGGTGGCGTCCCGGCGCAGCTGGACAGACGCAGCTCCAGCCCGGGGCGCCTTCCCGGCCAGTGCCCAACCCTTCAGGCCTCATCACCTCTTTGTAAAAGGAGGATTAGGTAGGATGCACCCAACACAGGGAGATGAGGATGGCCGACCAGGTGGGCAGGCCTGCCCCCGGCTGGATGTTTAGATTAAATGCGCAAAGATCGATTGACACGGCTACACCGCGGTAGCCGTGTCGCAGAGGTCAGTGATGGCTGGACAGGTCTCTGCAGGCAAAGGGGGCTCTCATGAGGACACGACTCAGGGACTCCACGGGGGCCCTCCCACCCTGGAGGGCCAGGACCACCACTCTGTCCTGCACTTGCCGTGGACAAGGGTGGGTGCAGATGTTCTGGTGGGGGCAGTAGGCGGTTTGGCGGATGAGGGAAGGCTGGGGGACGTGCCCAGCCTCCCCTGCTCTCCCACCTGGGCAGGGATGCGACCCGGGGCTCCCGCTGCCAGCGGGTCGTGCCGAGTGTGGCTCTGAAGCCTCAGCATGTGTGTGGACTTGGTGGCGGGGCCCCGGTCCTCTGGGGGAGAAACTGACACAGGTGTTTGCTGCCTGCGAGAAGCCAAGCCCTGCTCTGGTCCGAGGGGAGAGACGCCGTCACAGGGAAGCAGAGGCAGTGGAGGGTCTCAGAGCAGCCTCTCCCTCCCCTGGGCCCCTCTCCCCGGGGTCCACGTGGCTTTTGTTCTTAGCCTCAGAGATGCAGTGGGGGGGGGGCATCAGGGCCCTGTCTCTGGGGTGAGGAGTCAGGGGAGACAGAGACAGAGATAGAGACACAGAGACACGGTGGAGGCGGGGAGCCCACCTGCACACCTTGAGTTTTTCCCATAGTCACCCCTTCGCTGGGCTGTGCCCCTGCCGGGACCGCCCTCGCCCCCTCCGCACTCACCCAGGTCCTGCCTCCTTTAAGACCCTGGAACCTCCCACAGACCCCTGGGGCCTCCCTGCCTTGTACCTGAGCGTCCTTGCTGGCACCCTTCTCTGTGGTTGTCCTTGTGCCCCGGTGGGAGGTGCGGGGGGAGGTCTCTCGCCTTTACCCCCTCCAGGCTTTCCCCTCGCCAGGCACGCAGTGACGGTGTCTCGGGCCCCAGAGAGCCGAGTTGGACTCTGGCGTCCCGGGGGGCCTGCACTGACCGCCCTCACCGTGCCCCAGCCTCAGTCTCCCCGAGGTACGTGGAGGGGCCGAGTTAGGTGGAGGTGGAGGGAGGGCTGGAGGAAGGCCGTCCTCACAGCTCTCAGGACAGGCACACCTGCCCGTACATTCAAACGAGGACCCAGAGCGCCGGCTTTTAAATACTGACCCCGCCAGCCTGCTTCCCCATCCTTGCCCCCAACTCCCAGTCCGACGGGAGCCTGAAAGTCCTCAGGGGTGTCTGGTGCAGGGGCCCCAAGCCTTCTTGCCTGCACACTGCCGCCCAGGGCTCCCCCCGGGCCCTGAAACCTCTCGTGTCCCCGGGGCCCGGCTGGCTGGACCTGGGCGCTTGGCCAGGTCGCTGGAAGTGGGAGGGCCCCTCCTGGTCACGGGATGAGCTCAGGTGGAGATAATATCCTCCATGTGGTCCAGCCCTTCTCTTCCTCAGCACCTGAGGGACGTGGGGGGGCAGCAGCCTGGGGGCCGGTGTCCAGTGGGCCGTCACCGTTCCTGGACAGCTCGTGCCCGGCCTGGCGCTGGATCCCACACGGTGGGTCACTGGGCGGTGCCGCTGTGGGATGTCTGGGGCCACAGATGTTGGTCCCTTTCCCGAGGACCCACCCCAACCGTCCACCTGCCGGCCTCAAACCCTGGGGCCCCAGCTGCTGACAGATTCTTAAGGGTTAAAATACTTTTCTAAACTCTATTCCGCAGAGCTACGTGCTCTGAGCTGGTCCTGCTGAGGACTCGCCTCTTCTGTGGGCTGCTCTGTGGCCCTGGGGACTCAGAGTGCAAGTCAGAAGTTATGTGTAGAGATGCTGTTTGTTCTAACATTTTTCAAGTGGATTTAGCTTCGAATTCATTTGCGTAACAAGTGCCGCCCGTGGAATAAGTGTTCCGCGCAGCCTGTGGTTCCCGGCCGAGGTCCCCCGGCTTCTCTGCGCTTCTGCACGTGGCTTTAAGGAGTGAAGAGTTGCCTGGCCTCCAGGCCCAGGGACAAGGTTTCCACCTGCAGGGCCCTGTTGCCGCCCTGCCCGCTCTGCCTGCTGGGTCTTGGGACGCTCTCCCGCTGCCCCTCCCCCTTTCCTCAAAGGCCACCTTCCCTGTGAGCTGTCCCTGGCCTGGATACTTGACACCACACCCCAGCTTGCCCTGCCCTCCTGCCCCCTTTCGTCTTCTCCCCGCCATGTCCCATGCCAGTCCCCGGGTTCTCTGCCCACTGCTGCCAGCGGGGCCTCGCGCACGCCAGGCTCTCAGCACAGCTTCGAGAGGAGCGTCTGCTCTCAGTGTGTTGGCAACGACAGCAGTAAACACCAGGGTGGTGCGTGTCCTGGACTGAATGGGGCCCCCACAGACACGTCCTCGTCCAATCCCTGGAACCTTACTGAGAAGAAGTGATGGTTTTGAGATGAGGCCATCCTGGATTACCCAGGTGGACCCTAAACACAATTACAAGTGTCCTTATAAGAGACAGGAGAGGAGAGACACACAGAGGGACTGCCACGTGACCACGAAGACAGAGACTGGAGGGACGTGGCCACAAGCCCAGGGATGCCTGGAGCCCCTAGAAGCTGGAAGAGGAAGGAAGGACCCTCCCCTGGAGCCCTGGGACACCTTGATTCCAGACTCTGGCCTCCAGACTGCAAGAAAGGAAATACCTGTTGTCTTAAGCCTGTACCATCACCCAAAACACCGGGTGCGTTTGTTTGGACGAATCCTTCCTGAGCTTGTTCACAGCTGGCGGCCTGTGTCCAAGCCCGACCATGCTAGCGGGAGCCTTGGCTACACCACGGGGCCGCTACTCAGCCGTTTCTGCCCCACGAAGTGGGCAGCTTCACACAGGGCAGCCTCAGCCCAGCCCTGCGGCCCTGGGCGGGCCGGCGGGCCTCTGTCTCTCAGTGCCCATGTCTGCAGGCCGGAACCTGGTTTTGTCACGTCTCGGGCGCGTCGCGGGGACTCAGCGAGGAGTGCACACTGGGACGAAAAGGGAGCGGGACGGGGATTGGGGGTGGGGGGATACGGGAGGTCCTGTCATGGACTGTTCCTGTTCCTGTGGTTCCCGTGGCCACCATGCCATCCGAGGCTCAGGACACAATCGTCCGACTCTGGGACCCAGAGAGGGGACCCAGTGTTGCCCAGCCCCCACCCCCGGGGGGCAGATGGGGAGTGGGGACCAGACGAGGGTCTCCCCACTCCCCAGCAGCGGGGTGTCCCAGGCCGAGGGCCTGTCTGCGGAAGGCGTGTCTTAACGGAGGCATTATTATTAGCAGGAAGGACCAGGCCAGCACCTCAGGAGACAGCTGTCATTCAGTGGATAGAGTTTTACTCACACTTCTCCAGCGGAGGGGGTGCGCCACCGGGGACCGCCGCTCAGGGAAGCGCTGTCGGGCCGGGGGTGGGGGCAGCGGCAGGGGGCTGTGTGGTCAGGAGCCTTTATGGTGGTTCCCGCGGGAAGGAACGGTGAGTCAGGGTAAGCAGGCTTAGGGTTGGCTGTTTCGAATCATCTCGGGGGCTCTGTGGCACAGGCGCTGTCCCTGGCTGTCTGGGACCTGCCCCTGGCTCATCGGAGCAGGAGCTAGTGGCCCTGAGTGCTAGAGCCCCATGGGGGAGGTGAGGAGGTGTGGGCTGTGCTTTGAGAGGTTTGCATCTGCAAAGCAGGCTGCGGGCAGTGGTTTGCTATCTAGGAATTGGCTAACTGTGGGAGGGGCAGCCCCTGGGGGGTCAGGAGGCCCCAGAAGTTAGAGCACAGGAGCAGAGAAAATAAAAGAGGCGCTTGTATAGGTAGGTGCTGTGAACTGCTGGGGGCGAGTGGGCTCGGGTCTGAGGCTGCACTTTTGGCTTCATTTCTCCCTTCTCGTTCCTACTCTGAGGCCTTGCATGGCGAGGCGCTCCCAAGGGGCTGCCCCGCGGAGAGGGGGCAGAAGATCCCGGACTGGGAGCTCGTCGTGCCCGGGAAACCGGACCCCCTCGGTCGACGCTCAGCTCTGTTGCCTCCCGTGTGGATCTGGTCGGGAAGTTTGCACGACATCATGCATGTTACGTGTTTGACCCCGTTGTTACATGTACAACGCGTAGTGCAGACTTAGCATGTGTTGGCTTTCTTGCCTTTTGTACCACTCCAATGATTGTAAGAAGGGTTTTAAAGAATTGGGCCTTTCCTCTCAAAACACTCCTTCATAAAATCACCAAGCCCACGATCACACGAGTGGAAGCCCCCAGAGCTGAACAGCCCCTCCAGCTGGTCCCTCCCTCCCCCCGGCCAGACTGGGGCGCAGGGGTTCCGGAAGAATGGTGCAATTCATGAAAAAAAGATAAAACTCGAGTGGATTTCCTATTTTAGGTTGAATATTTTTGTGGTGTTTTTCCAACTTTGGATGTAATTAAGTAGCTGAGGAGGGAGCGTGGCCTCAACACAACAAAAACAAATGATATTTTAAAACTTTCATCCAAGTCGGGGGTGGGGTCTGGTGAGGGGGCATCTCCCTTGGCCCCGGGCTGACAGGTTGCCTCGTGCCCGAGCAGCCTCCCCTCAGGTCCCCGAGGAGGGAGCAGCGTCCCACACCCTTCCCGGGAACGTCTGGCTGCTCAAGACAAGCAGTGACGTGCCTGTCGCTGGGAGCGCTGTCCTGGCCAGATAAGCCCCGGGAGGTCCTGGGGTCCTGGAGGTGGGGCTAGGGTGGGCACTGGCTCTGGCTCTGGGGGTCCGGCCTCCTTGGACCCGGAGCTGCCTCCCCTCCCAGCCTGACTCAGGACAGGCTGAGGTCTGGCTTTGCTTGAGGGCAGAGGGGTGCAGGCAGGGCAGGGAGGTGAGAAATGAAGGTGTCCTTGCCTGGGGGGAGCCTGGAGGCTCACCTGCCCGCTCGGCCTGGGGCTCCAGCTGGGAGGATGGCCGCCCCGGCCCCAGTGTCCTCTGGAGTTAAAGACCAGTGTCAACCTGTCCCCAGGACCCAAAGGTCAGTGCCCCAAGGCAGGGGACAGCATGAACTCAGCCAGAAAGATGGGACTCGAACTGCACACTGAGGAGGTATGCAGGTGAGTGAGGGTGGACCCAGGCTGGGCGGGGGAGAACGAGTGGCGTCCACCCGTGGCTGAAGATGCGTGGGAGCTTGTCCCGTCTGCACTGTGGCCAGCCTGACCCTGGGCTGTCCCGGAGGGGAGCCGCGCCCTGCAGATGCTTCAGTGCAAAGGGTGGCCCGGCTCAAGCAGCAGGTGGGGAAGGGCCAAGGCTGAGGCCCTGGAGGCCGAGGTGGGAGAGTCAAGGCCTTTGAGGAGGGGGAAGTCTTCTCCATCACCCCGTGCTCTGCCTCCAGTCCTGGGTCAGACCAGCAGTGTCTGCTTCTCCAGTGGTACCGGTAGTGGCCCTGCATTGTGCCCGAGTCCACACACTGGGACAGGCCCCTGGAGTCCCCAGGGCTCAGGGCTGAGACCCCCGTGCCCAAGCCCCTGCTCGCCCAGCCTGCCGCCAGCACTTGGGGGGCTATAAGGAAACCCCACTGCCCCCTCAAACTTCTTCAGCTGGCGGGGCCGTGTGCCTGGAAGGTGGGACTTGGGGTTCCAGACTCCCCTGAGCAGCCCTGGGCAGCCATGGGTTCCAGCTGGACCCCTGGGAGCCTGTCAGACTCGACAAGGCAGCTTTCTCCCTCCCAGTGACTCGGGAGCGTTAGTGAGGACAGATGAGGACGCACCGGGGCCTCCATCACAGCACCGGGCTCTCCAGGGACTTGGCAGGTGGGTGTCCAAGTGAGGACACCAGGCCCTGAGCCCACAGACCTCCTCAAGGTCTCTCGGACCACCGGACGGGGGCCAGGCAGGCAGATCCAGCCTGGAGAGCAGCGCCGGCCAGCTGACCGCACACCCGCTGTGTGACCTGCTTCCACACCCAAGGCCAGGGGTCCATAGAGACCCCAGAGGATGCTGTATTTCTGGGGCTCCTCGGGGAAGGTGCACCTGGTCCATGGAGCCCAAGAAGGAGGAATCTAGAGCCCCCTGAACCTCTGGACATGGGGTGTGGTCTCCGGGAGGGAGGGAGCTCCTGAGGGCTGCTGAGCTGTGTCTGTACCAGACACGGCAAAGGGGTCTGGGGGCTGAGGGAGGGTCGGGGCAGCCCGAGTGGGGCTGGGGGCACCTGCGCCAGCTGTGGTCCCGCGGGTGGAGGGACTGTGGTCTGGGGTGGGGGTGGGGTCACTACTTGCCTGTCTTTCTGCTCCGTCTCGCTTAACCCCTCTGAGCCTCAGTGTGCTCACGTTTAAGATGGAGTGTTCCAGGGCTTCCCTGGTGGCGCAGTGGTTGAGAGTCCGCCTGCCGATGCAGGGGACGCGGGTTCGTGCCCCGGTCCGGGAAGATCCCACATGCCGCGGAGCGGCTGGGCCTGTGAGCCATGGCCGCCGAGCCTGCGCGTCCGGAGCCTGTGCTCCGCAACGGGAGAGGCCGCGACAGTGAGAGGCCCGCGTACCGCAAAAAAAAAAAAAAGATGGAGTATTCCACTTCACAGGGTTGTGACAAAGATTACGTGCGTATGCACGCGAAGCTAATCTACCACCATATGAGCTCGTGATTTTTCTCCTTCTCATCTTCTTTGCTTTGGGTTGTTTTGGAAGGGCCCAAGAAGAAGTGTGGTTTCTCTGCCTACCCCCTTGACACTGAGGGATACCAGTGGCGACTAGCTTTTCTGAAGCTCTGGGCGAAGCTTGCATCTCAGGCCTCGGGAAGAGTATGGGTGGGTGGGGGTCCCGAGGGACCCTTGAGAGGGGCAGGGCGGGCGGTAGGGATCTGCCAGTGAATCGAGTCTCATGGCCTTGAACAATGGATTGATTATAACAACAGACCCAGGGCTTCCCTGGTGGCGCAGTGGTTGAGAGTCCGCCTGCCAATGCAGGGGACATGGGTTTGAGCCCTGGTCAGGGATCTGAAATCCCACACGCCTCATGGCTCGGTCAAAAAAAAAAAAGGTGTGAATATTATCATGGTCTATACATCATTCTGCAGAACTTGATGTTTTCAGTTTTTCGTCTTTGGTATTTGCCATTCCTAACGTCTACTCATTTTAACAGTGGTGTAGAATTCCGTAGTATGGACGCATCTGTAATTTATCCATCTTTGTTATATATGTATATTCTGCTTTACTGTGTTTCACTGTCAGAAAAAATCCTTCAATGAAATATGAAGAACAAAGGAGGTGCCCGGGCCTGGGGAGATGACACAGAAAGCTTCGTGGGTATCTGTAAGGTCGTTGATAAAAAAAAAAAAAAAGATGTGGGGGACTTCCCTGGTAGTCCAGGGGTTAGGACTCCATACTCTCACTGCCAAGGGCATGGGTTTGATCCCTGGTCGGGGAACTAAGATCCCACAGGCTGTGGCCAAAAAAAAAAAAAAAAAAAAAAGATGTGAAATAGGTATTTTTAAAATGCTAAAATGTGACTCAGTCTGGTGGTGGGTATGTGGATGTCCGTTAAAAAAAAAAAAAAAAAAGCTTTTCTGTACATGCGAACCATTTCATAATAAAAAGAAACATTGAAGGATTTCTAAATAAAAGAAAGAAAAATATTTTAAAAGTCCCAGTGTTAGCAGGAGAGTGGATGTGTAAGTCGTGGTAGATTTTCTCACCTGAATATTCTACAGCAGTGAAGTAAATGAATTAGGGCAACAAGTATCGACATTGGTGAATTTCATAGACATGCCATTGAGTGAAAATAAAACACACTTTGGAAGAATAGGAGCATTCAGTTATGCTGCTACTTACATAAAATCTAAACAATGTATTCACATAATGTATTTATTCCTTGTTGATTGCAGTGTATTTTTAGAGGACATTTTATGCATCCAGCAAAGTTATGGAATAAGGGTGAGCACGGCGCCCAGGCTGCTGCTTTCTCCGGGCACAGAAAGTTTTCTTGCCATTGGTGATGGTCCTTTTCTTAAGCTGGGTGGGGGGGTTCGTGGGAGGGGGGTTACATTATTCTTTATACCTTATGTATGACTCTGTGTATTTTTTTAATTTATTTTTTTATTGAAGTATGGTTGATTTACAATGTTGTGTTAATTTCTGCTGTACAGCAAAGTGCCTCAGCTATACATATATGTACATTATTTTTTATATTCTTTCCCATTATGCTTTACCCCAGGAGATTGAATGTAGTTCCCTGTGCTGTACGGTAGGACCTTGTTGTTTATCCATCTGTGCATTCTTTAGTATGCATAAAAATTTTATAATAAACATTTGAAAGTTTAAAAAATAGCTTAGAAGGATAGGATTAGCATCATCTTCTAATATGGGAGGTTTGTGTTCCCTCAGGGCCAGAGATTCCATCACTCCCCTTCCTTTTGGTTTCCACGGTGTGTATTAGTGTCCTGTTGCTGCCATAACAAATTCCCACAAATTCTGTGGCTTAAAACAATGGAAACTTGTTCTTTCACAGTTTTGGATGGTAGGGGTTGAAAATCAAGGTGCCAGCACCTTGCTAAACCTGCCAGGGGTGGGGGCAGGGCTTGAATTCAGGAAGCTTCTTGCCCACTGAGCCTCACGGTCTCTCCCAGTCCGTGAGGCACTCAGCAGACCTGGGACCTGGGTCCATTGTCATCT